AGATATATAATCAAGGATGAATTTCTCAGAAAAACGGAATCAACAATATTTATTCAATTGAACAAATTGTGCTATATTTTCAGTGCACAACATTAAAACTTCATTACAATCAAGCAATGAAACAATTACGGATAAGAAATAAATTCTATTTTAAGGGATGAAAATTTGAATTCTATTTTAAGGGATGAAAAAATAGCAAGTACATATGCATTCCCAAAGAAGGCGTAGCGTATGTTTTCTAAAGATGCGATAAATAAAGGCTTGTATAACATTCCTATGACTATGAGTTGTATTTTAACACCACAAATAATATCAAATTGAATTATGCATCAGCTTGCAAAAATTGTCTCCAAATAAATTTTTGGAAATAAATATCGACTTGATCCTCAATATATTTCATATTAAAAGTATCAAAAACTATCGAAATTAGAAATCATGTCACACATCAATGTAAAATGACTAGTAAGTAAATACTTGAACAGTTCGCACAAATCCAAGTTTACTATTAAAAAAACAAAACTCAATTCACATTCATAATAAAATACTAATAATAATCATTACAAAAGCTATATAATGATAAATATTTTAAATTTATTTATTAAAACTAAAATTTTCAAAAATCAAATGTGATGAAGAAATGCAAAAACTAACAAATAAGCGCAAAAATCAACAAACTTTACTTAATAAAACCACAAAAATACTAAGTAAACTGTTAAAAACACTAAAATAAAAAAATCAGAAAACAAAAACAAGAAAAGAAAGGAATGAGATTAAAGTTTTAATTGAACAGCGAAAATTCATTTTCATCTGTGCTAATACTTACTGTAGATTCAGTTTTTAAGCTCCAAAACTTGCCATTACTATTTATTGTATCTAACTGAAAAACTTTTATTAATTTGCAATTAGTAATAATTCCATCATGCAAATTAAAATAAAAGTTTATCAATAGGGAATTCAATAAAACTGAAGCCAAAAATTGAGTCGGTGATGACTGAAGCGAATATTTTTGGTGGTTTATGCGATTTATTACGCAAAAATGACACCATTCGTACCTGCAAGAATATTATTTCAGACTACTGTGTAAATGAAGCAATTTAACATGACAAAAGTTTATGAATTCAAGGAACAATTCAAAATTTTAATTAAGTAATTGTAATTTCAAAATTGAAATTAAGTTTCTTGCATGGTTAACATATCACGCTAAGAAATAATCAATTTTTGAACTTGTCAAAGTTCATATTCAAAATTGTTAATAGAATTTTTTAGTTTAAATTGAACCTTTCTATGGGTTATAATATTTGACGTTAACCTTAGACATATATTTACTGTTCTGATCAATTCTCAATGCATGTTTATGTGAAAGAGGTACTTTTGCAATATTTTTTAATTTTTATTTCTGAGAAATTAAAGGCTCGAATTATTGGATATGTTCGACAGTATTTTTTTAATTTTGGCTGAATATAATGGATAATTAAAATTGAAAAATTTACTTTTTTTTAAATTGGTGGCTTACCGCATTATACCAAAATTATACACTTTATTAAAAATTTTTGAAATATGTCATAATTATTGTTATTCTTTTAAAACAGCTCCTCTTTTTGCAACAAATATATTTGCAAATTTAGAGCAGATAAAGCGATCAAAAAGAATATAAGTCAAATTTTTTCTTCTGGAATTGCTTGATATTAAGAGTATAATGGGGATAGACTATATTATTAATGCACAAAATTTGGAAGCTTGCTTATAATGCAAGTTTTTAGAATAATAATAATAATACTCATTTCACTTCTCGACTGCATCATTTGCGAGCTTGGAAAAAGAATTGACGGAAAGTAAATAAAAACAGTTAATTTTTACTTTTTCAAAGTGTTTTTTCACTAAATTTTGAAGTTTTTTGAACGAGCAAACACGTATGGAAGGCTAAATGTTTCAGTGACACTTTTCTTTTCAGCGTGCTGTCCTTCAATTACTTACATTTGATTTTGCACAATAAAATGTTAAATTTATGCGAAATTTTATGCGACTTCAAATTTTCTTCGCTACAAAATGTATTCGACAAAAACATTTCGTATCGAGAAAATCTTAACGTAAATAATGAAAACTTTTGCTCGTTTAATGTCTAGAAATAAGTATACACGAGATTGGAATTTCTATAAATGATTGAGAATGAATAAATGCATTATTCTAAAATCTGTTCGCAGCGAAAATCAAACCATCTCATTAAATTTCTGGACTGAGTGAATAATTAATTAATTGTTCTTCATTTTATCAACTGCAATAAAGAACGAAGCAAATTTTAAATTTTTTATCAGCAATAAAAATAGATTCAAATTGTTAAATATATTTACACTTACCAAAAATGTATCAATCCATCAGTGAATACCATTGATTGAATTCAATGCCTGAAGTTAAAACAAAAAATTGCAGTAAGTGCAGTCGCGATGATCAGTGCTGCAGTTGTGTTGATAGCTGAAATTCGAATACTTATTGATTAAACGCCAATTTCCTCATCTTAAATTAATGTGCTAAATTTATCGAGCAAAAAAACCAAGAACAATTCTTTCGCTGCTATAAATCCGAGTTTATAGTCTAATTTGGTAACAGCTGGAAAGGATTAAATGTCCAGCAAGAAAATATCGACATATATTGCATTAAAAGCTTTAAAATGATGTCATACGATACTTTTAAGAATAATTTTCCATAAATTTTGAGCTCGCATGACCTTCATGCTGTTAATCAAAGTGGTGGTATATTGGACCTCAAATACATCAATCTCTTGCCCCCTCTTTTGAATTTTCGAAGAAATTATCATTTTTTGCAAAGAAAAACAGCAACATTGTAAGAAAAAACTTCTGCATTCATTTCATTTACATGAAGAGAAGTCACAACAACAATAATCTGAGCGTTTTTCCTTTCACGTAGAATACCTTCTCACTGTTAATCAAAATTGTATCGAAAGGACAACTCCGGAAAATTTTCGGAGGCGATGTTTAGATAAGTATCAGTTAAAAGATTAATTAAGTATAGTACTCGTAACTGCTGAATTTAATTAATATTAATATTTTGCATAAAGGCAATAAACTTGCATTCTAAGACTAAATTTATTTTTTGACAAGAATTAAAAGCTGTAAGCTTCAGAGTAATGAATTATAATGGCTGAGCTGACTAGAGATTCATTTTCAAGTTGCATTATGATAAGCAAATCTCAAATTAGAAAAATTAATATTAATCCTAACTACGCGCGCCTAATCAGAGATTTAACGATAACTTCTATTAAACTGCTACAGATTAAGTAATTAATAAGCCAACTTTTCAATCAAAAATGATAATTGCAAACTTTTCTGAAAAGTTAATTTGAAAGGTGTTAAAAACGTGAAAAAAAACTGAAAGAACAAGAATGTTATTAATTTTTAATAAAGCTAAAAACTGGAATGATAGCCAAATAAATTTGACAAATCTCTATCTGAATACATTTCTCTGAATATTTTTATGTTGTAAGAAGAATTTATAAAATTTGTTCACGAAAATATTTTTATGACAAGTCAAAAAATAACCTGAAAAAATTAGATTCTTAAGGAAGAATTAAGAAATAGAAAAATGACGATAATATTTGAAAATTTACATGATGACGAAGAATTCATAAATGGTACAGGTGATGCAGTGGTAGTGGTAGTAGAAGTTGTCGTTGTCACTTCAGGTGTGCAGTTATAAGCTCGACATCGCAGAAATTCCACGCTACCCTTAAGAAAGCACGCATTCTTATTGTATATATCTTTGGAAATCCTTCAACTAAGTTTTAGTAATTTTATAGAAAGAAAAGAAATCATTTGAAGTCATGTTAAGCTTTCTATTTTTTGCTTATTTCCACTTTTTTATGGCATCAAAAGATGTTTATTTTGTTTTAATTAACTTCATTTTGCTGCTACAATTATTGTACAAATCATAGCAATAAAGTAAAGTCTGTAAACAATTTAAGCGATATAAGGAAGGACGTTGTGCGCAGACATTCAATTATTTGCAGCACTTGGGATTCATTTCTTCATTTGAAGAGAAGAGAAGCATTTATATATAGTTTTGTACTGCTCGATTGTCAATCCGCGTAGAGCCGATTATTATAGAGTGATAATCTATATTTACATTACTGTGTTGGATAAAGCGAATTCGATCAAGACAAACAACAAATTCAATAAAACTTGAGCTTTTTGTGGTGCCAGAAGAGTTTAGTTTTCAAAGTTCTATTAGGACATTACTTTTCAGATTCCAATTATTTTTCAGAAGTAATGTGCGATTACTAACTGATTATCTTTGCATTACTTTATAACGTCATATTTGTGCCATTTCCAGCGCGAAAATAACAATAAATTCTTCAAAAAAGGAACTTTTGTTGTAATTTCTGCTATCAGAAAAGTGAGATAAAAATTTATGCAAAGGTCAAAAATAAATTATTAATATTAGCCCAGAAAATTTTAAACGCTGAAATGAATTTTCAGGCTGCTAAAATGGATAAATTGTGTCTTGCGTAGCACTCATTTTAATGCAACTTTTATAAATATTTGAACTTCTAATAGCAGAGAGAGAATAATCTTAAATATTCACCCATTCCGACCAGTCTGCTGTTGAAAACTTTAGAATTCGTTGTGATCTAATAGCGAATCGCTCGCAAGTATCATCATTTACTTGCAATACAATTTTTGCTTTTGGCTTGTTAAAATGTCAGAAAAGAAAGTGCCAAGTATTAATTGATCTCCTGCGACCGCAAATGAATATGAATATCATTCAGAACTGATAACATTTAATTCACATCTCTTATTTTAACAAAATGCAATGACTTCTCACATCAGCAGAATTCGATTTGATCTTTTTGACGGTCTTAAATTTCTGTTTCATCTTTCGTACCAATTACTGAGTTCAAATTTGAACTGCTTGTCTTTCAAGTCAATAAATCTTTTTTCAAAAAATGCAAATAGAATATAACGAATGTTGACCTTGCAAGGTTCGCGCTAATCTGATGAAGTTGATAAAGTTTTATTACTTAACAAATTTTTGATCTATGAAAATGTCACATTTTCAATTTAATTTTTGCATGACCTATACTTACAAATGCAAAAAGATGCAAAAGTTTATCGTCAAACTTCTTTCATAACAAATTTTTTGACTTCAAATTGAGGATTAAAACCAATGTAAAAGTATCAATTTTGCGTGAATGAAAATTTTGAAATTTATAACTTTTTAAGTTAAATACTTATCGTTTGTAGTTAAATACTTGTCAGAAAAATTTGCAGCAATAAAAATGTCTTTCACTCATTTCATTTTTTTTTCAAATTAGTAAGGCAAATCAGGCATGAAGGGAGTACTTGTGCAAATGAGTACGAAATTTACTGTAAGCAGTGAAAACTTGAACGATTTGATCAAAGCAATAGCAAATTGATACAAAGTAGTAAATACTTACCTCTAATGTGAGCTGGCAGCCATTAGTTGGATCAGTCAGTTGACAGCGATCACCATTCAATTTGTTATTTGCCCGATCACGACAACAAATTTCAAATACCTTAACGAGAAAACCGATCAGCCGATAATTACTGATATTTAAGAAAAATTTGATTGAAAATAAAGTTTAGCCAAATTTTACTTGTGAAATGTAGACATTCAGTGAAAGTGAAGATTTTCTGGATGAATTAAAAGTATTGTAAAATGTATAGGGTAGAAAGTTTTCGAAATCAGAAAAACTAGTGATGGAAATTAACTTTACCCTACAAAAGCTGTCACCAGCAAATTCAGCCATTTCACTACACGCTTCAGCGTAATCACGTGTTGTTGGATCGTAGAAATGTTGTGAAGCAGTAACTGTGAATGTAAATGACAAGCTGACAAGTAAAAGCCTCATCGATGCTATTGCAGTCATTTTATCATCCAAAAATATTTCTATAAACAATTTTTATGTAGAAAAAATATGATAAAAAATATGTTGACAAAGCGCAATAAAATACTTGATTAATTTTTATAATAAAAATTAATCAAGTATTGCAAATAAGTGAAATTCTTTTACTTTGTTAAACGTTTAATTTTACCTTAAGAAATTTAATAAATACTCAAAAACAAATTCTGACAATGCCTTTTTCCAAATATTTATTTAATGTTTTCACAACAAAAATTAAATTACTTGACAAAAATTATAAAAATTTTTAAATGATTCAAAAAATTAATCTTCAATATATATTTTGACACTTTCAATTTTTGAAGTTCCGAAATTTATTTTATGATTAATTCATAAATCAACGAGAAAATAAATAGCCGTATTATTTTGTTAAGATATGTGAAAAAGGTAACCGAATGAAAAATTATTCAGATTTAACATCTGTGCTAGAAGCCTTAAAGCGTATGTATATTTTTATTGCTCTAAAGATTGATATATGAGTATGGCATATGTTTATGCATGAATAATTTGTTGCCTGTAAAAATTGAGAATGAAAAATATTTGAAATAATCAAATTTTGGTATAGTAATTAAAGAAAGAACTATTTTTGTAATAAATTCTCCAGTACTCAGAAGAAAATATTAATTATACATTAATTTTCAGCTTGGAAACACTAATGAATTAAAGGTTAAGGGTCGGATGATTCGTTTACAAATATGACATTTCTATTCAAAGTTCAAAACTTTTGCAAAATGAAAAATTAGCATATCTTAACTACCTACAATCTTATAGAATGCTTATTTATAAAATTCGTATTATCAGACTTCAATCTACTTGATACTTACGTGACACATATTGCGCAAATATCTTAGGTGCTAAAGGCAATAAATTAACATAATCACTATCAAATAAACTACTGATAATAATTATTGGCAACAGACTGAATAAACTTTCAAAGTATGACTTAAACGACTAAGATTAAAAATGAGTAACTAACGTAACCAATAAATTAAGAAAAAATAGTGTTTAGTGAGATTGACTGCAATTTGTTTCATTTGTTTCGCCATAAAATGAATTTTGACCCCCTAAAAAAGTAGCGAAAAAATAAACTTTGACCTCTGAAAAAGGGCAGATAATCTGGTATGTTTCGTCGCATAATCCGTGACATTTGCTCTCTCTCACTCAAATCTGTCTTTGCTTTAATGAAGTGGAAAATTGAGCGGAGCAGATTGCTTGCAACTCGCAAAGCAACCACCGCTGAATTTTTTAAGAGTTACGATATCTCGGCACTTAAACTTGACACTTTTGACTTTTGAACTTAACCATAGCTGATTAATCATAATATCATCGAAATTTGACCTTTTCAACTCCAAAATAAATGCACGAATTCCCAGAGATTTATCATAATTTTGAAGCCACAACTCAATTGAAGTATTTTTTGATTTCAATCAATAACATAAATTCTAGAAGATATTTAAGAATACTTGCATTTATTGCATAAAGAAAAAACAAGTTTTAATTTGCAAAAAGAGCAAAGTTCAATCTAGCCGATAACTGTGCATAACATTTTTGTCTATTGTTATCAGTGAAGTTTCTGTGAAAAAGCAATTAATTTTGAATGGAAAATTAGTAATAATTAGATTCAGTCGAAAAAGAAACAGAAGTCTGAAGTGAATTGAGTTGAGTAATGCTCGCAGCTGATAACAACTGGTGCTACATTGAAAGAAAGTTTAGAAAATGAATGAAAAGGCAAAGTTACAAGCTTATCTCTCTTTTGGCGATTAACGTGAGATTACTAATTCAATACTTGAGAAAATGAAATTAATTTGAATGAAACGATACTAAAATATCACATTTCGTTTCATTTTCAAATCAAATATTAATCCCGCTAGTATTGATTCCAAAAACTGCGAATTTTTGTGTTAATTTTCATTTCAAAGACTGCATCAATTTTTGTGCAGACTGAATGCAAAGACTGACGACAACTTTCATTGCGTCTTCGCAAAAAGTAAATGTTCCAACTCGCTGAGTGATACTTTAAATCATTTTTGGCATCGCAGCAAAAGCAAACTCAAAAGTGAATAAATCCGTAATAACTACATGGAACTAAAATGCGCAAAATGTTCAATTTAGGGTTTTTATGTTCAGATTTACTTGCAAAAAGTCAGAATTTGATGAAAGCGAATGGAGTGAAAAGTGGGTTAATTGGAAGAAATAGTTGCTGTAGGCTTAGAAGAAGGCGAAATATTCTGGAAATTCATAAGTCAAAAGTAACAGAAACGTTCAACAGGACACAGGCATATTAGCAAGCATAATGAACACATTTCTTCTCTATAAAAAAATGAAATTTTGCAAGCTTTTAAATTATCATTCTCAAATTTTCATGTTTTTAGACATATTCAAAATGATTTTTCATGCGTTAGAATTGATGGAATATGGCAATTAATAAATTCGCTCTCTTTTTTGGGCAACTAATTTTTTTTGAAATAAAAAGCATGAATCAAACTTGTCCACACATTATATTGTTCGTGTTGAAGTTAAATTATCTATTTATTTGTGGAAGTGAAAATCAATTTTTGGATTCACTCTTGCTGTCTTTGCAATACTGATTCTACTAATATACTGAGTGTATTTGTTTAATGTTCAGGCTTGGCTTGAAATATTTACTTTTGATGCTATTTTTCATGATAAAAAATGAATAAAAAGAGACAAAAGATTGAAAAAGTGAAAGAAAAAGATTTGCAAAATTATAAATTTGAAAATTACAATCACTTTCGAATTTTGACAAATTGTTTAAAATTTGTGGGAGGAAAAATCAAAAAATTACAAAAATTTGCTAATAGCTTTTGCACTAATTTACTTAATATTTTTCATGCAATAAATTTATTTTCAATTTCTATTCCACAAAAGTGTGAATATAAAAACTTGTGATCTGTTTTATTTCCGAATTGTGAAAATTCATTTTTGCTACTGTGAGGAAGATAAAGTTAGAAAGAAATACTGAAAGTCCGCCTGATTATATGCAAATGCTTCTAGAAATAATCTCCGATAGATCATTGCTGAACGAATATATTTCGTTTAGCTGTCACCATTTGCTGTTAACTTTTACGTAGTAATTAGAAAAAACTGGAAAAAAATCATATGCACCATGTAATATTGAAATACCACACATTATTTATATTATTGTCGATGAACTTAGGATTTACTGTATTGTTATTGTTGTCATTAGTTGCGCTGTTTTTGTTACTGGTAGATTAATCATCAAAATTTATCGATGAAAAGTTACGGACTTTGTTGATTTTAAAAGTAAAAAATGAAAATTCAAAGAATTTGGAAAAAAACTTTGCAAAAAATGAAAAAAGAGAACCTACAGTGCTGAGTGCAAGTGCACAAGTGCGAAACTATCAGAATTATATTCTTCCTGCTTCGATTTGGCTTGACAACATTTACATAAAAATCGTGAAATGTACGTTTAGCTAAAGGTAAGGTAAATATGTAAGGGACTAACTGAGCTGTTAGTTCAAAGGTTTATAAGTCAAAAAGTTACTAGCAGTCACACAACCACCGGAAACTAAGACTTAGCAAACAATCTCAAGTAACATCCATATGCAAATTTTTATCACTTCCATAATTTCGGCAAAGACAGAATTTGAATATCATTTTCTTCCAATGTTTCATCTGCTAGCTTCAGAAGACTTAATTGTTGTAGATCCGTTCAAATAATCGAATTTTCAATTCGGTAATATTTCTTATAATTGACTTTTATAATAATGCAAGGAAGGTGTATTAATAAAACAAAAGATATGCAGTGTGACTTCGTTAGTTAGAAAAAACTTAGTTACTAATTGATATTTATTTGATTACAAAAAGGTGTCAATAATTAACGATATTGGCTGCAGAATTTCTTTTTATAAGAAAAAAATTGAGATTATAAAAAAGTAACTGAGAATTAAATTTGAAATTGGCTGAAAGAGTCTTCTGAAGTGTTTACCTAAATGTCAAATATTAGAATTGACAAACAAGACTCAAAATGAAATTAATTTGAATTTTTAAGAGAAAATAATAAAAAATTCAAGCAATTTTTTCAATGTGTTAGAAAGAAGCACAAGACGGATTGAGATTTTTAATGTAAAATTCAAAACAGGCCTGTATCCCAAATTTTGGATATCTCAATTACTCTTCACTTACCAACATTTGGATGGAAATAAAATAATTTGAAATTAACTTTTAAAGAAAATTGGAATATTTTAAAATCACAAATTTAATGAAATCTTGTTTTTATAGAGCGGATATTCTTTTTGCTCAAAAATTTGCTTGAAAGGCAAACTATAAGTTCAAATATAATTTCAGTAAAATTTTATCAAATCGGAAATTTTCTAACTTACATTCCAAAATTGATGGCAACAATTAAACAAGTTATATCAGTTATTATTTTCAATTTTTTGGCAAAAATTATGGAAAGGGAAGAGCGCATTTTGCTGTTCACAATGGAAAAAAATTTCAAAAAAATAATTAATGAATAATAATAATTATTATTATTATTTTCCATGCACCAAATTTATTAATTAGCAAATTTTACATGCGGAAAAAGCTTAATGCTGAATTTTAAAATTTAAAACTTCAAGAATTTGAAGGGAAATTTAATCAAAAAACAAATTGACGAATAAAAGTTCTTGAAATTTCATAAAATCATTACAGTATAAATCGAAGATCAAAATATAGATAGAACAAAATGATTAGATCAGTATTCCAAATATACTAAAATTAAGTATAATGCCAAATTTTAAAGTGATTTAACAAAGTTGACTTTATTACCAAAGAATCCATTTTATGTTGTTATCAGTATTTGTAAAAGTAAGTAAGAGCAATAAATTAGTTAGTTCGGACTCGCGCACAAAAGAAGGCCATTCTTTGATGCAACTGAGAGTTTTGAAGAAGCCTTGCAAAAAACCAGTCTGACTAGAAGGGAAAATGAGCTGAGCCTAGGC